CTGAGATCCCAGCGTGCTGGGGAAGTGATATGCAGGCAGAGCACTTCTGGAGGACATTCTTGTGCTAACACAGCCCAGTCTTTATCAGCCAACTTTTTCAGCAACAGCTAAAAAGTTGTTTATTATTTGCAAATGCAAAGCACACCAAAATAATAATAATAAAAAAATCTATTAATTAATTTCAAAGGATTGGTAACATTTTTCCCCAAGGAGGAAACTCTAATAATATTGACTATTTCTACCTCATCATCAGATTACGGTTTCCTTCTTAATTATACCCTACTCCTTTTTACTGTTGCCATTTCTCTGTTATGAATTCCAACCAGAAGAAAAAGAGAAGTTTTTTTTTTAAGATTTTGAGGTCTGAATGGCAAATACAATTTAAAACAACACACAAATGCTGACAGCAACAGGTAAGTTTGTAAGTCCATCTTTTCTTTCATGAGAATGAAGGATGTAGTGAGAAAAAGAATTTAGAAAGCTATTTTGTTTTGGTTTTAGTAGTGAGCATTTCAGCGGTAAAGGTCAAGCAAAACATCTTTTCCCACAGCAAAAACTTACCAAAGCTTGTGAAATGGAAAATCATAGACAAAGATTCTTTTAAACTGTTCTTCAAAGAATAACAAGAAAAACTGAAATAAAATGCATGCAACTGAACTGAAAGAGCAATGCAGTTTAAAACATCTTCCTTAATTAGTTTTAAAAGGTGGGAACGCACTAATGTGTTCTATAAGTTAAACAACGAAAAAATCAGCCTTCAAGTTAACCAGTTTTGAAACTACTGAGATAACTAGCATCTACATTTAACAGCTGACATTAGTAGAAAAAATTCATCCCATGCAGTATTAATATTAATGGTCACACTACTATCAATTTGAAATCATAAGAAATTTTCATATGAGAAAAGTACATTTAAAGAATGGCTGGAACAGTGGTAACTTCCAAAACCTGAAGTAATCTTGAATTACTGGAAAGGGAGGAAATTTAGAAACAAAGGTCAAAATAGTTAATTGTCCTCTTCTTTTGGCTGAAATCCTACAAAGATTCAGTGATGCTGTGGTGTTTACCCAGAGGTGCTTTCCATATTTATGGATAGGGGTAATCATTAAAGCGATTTAGGCTGCCAGGTATTAGCTTATTGACCAATGCTTGGATTAGTAATGCCACCTGTCCTGCTCAACGTAACTAAAAAAGAAAAATTACCAACAGAAACACGGAGCTAAAAGAAAAACACCTTCACATTTCTGACAGACAGAAAACTGAAAAAGCAAAACCCATATTCATAGATGAAAACATAGCAAAAGTCACAAGGCAATCAGGACAGCTAAGGTCTTTCTTTGTTGCTGTGGACAGTTAATACTACCAAAGTCAGTAGTGGGAACACTTTAGGTGGGTTGTTTTAGGTATGACAACATTGTTTTACCTGTGCAACCATTAGGATCTTGAGTTTTCCCCACTCCTGCACTTTCAGTGCACAGAATCCTACATGCACAAAACTAAGCCAAGCACCTCAAGATGAAGAAGAAATATTTGCAGATGCCTGCCTGTTTCCTGCCCTCTAAGTAAAGCAGGGCATTTGTGCAGCTTAGTAGGTGCTGTCTTTGTGGTAGCTGCAGTGAGATTAAAACTACGTGCAGTGCCATCTCCACACTCTGGCATAAAAATCCTGCTGTGTGCTAGCAGGGCTAGCTTGTGCTGCCACCAGGGTCAGCAGAAACAGAACAAGCTCCTTGCCTGGATTCTTGAAGCCCAGTGGTTTCTCTAGGCCGTGGCATGATGGGGAACCAAAAGTAATTCCCCCAAAACCAAATTTCATCCTAATGCACATATACCATTAACAATCTACTTACAAAATAAATATGCAAACACCCTCACCCCCCAATAAGGAGTATTTCCTATATTAATGTCACTGAGTTATCATGAGGAATGTAATCTGAATTTAAGACTTCTTTCCCTAAATAATATTAACCTTCTTTCCAGTCAGCCAGATTTCAAATTGTTTCATTGTTTATGCTGCTTTCTGCTTCTGAATGCCTTCATTGTGCTTCTAGGAATAACTGAGTGACAACTAATTATAGTCTTCTGATCATATGAAGGAAAATAAAGAAAGTAGAAAGGAACTAAAAAACCTAAAGAAATTGGCAGCATCACAAGTTCTGCTTCTCTCTAAATGACAAACAGCACTTCCCCACTGTGTTACTAAAATCTATAGATCATCTTACAGACAAAAGAAAATAAATTCCTTGAATATGCAATATCTTTTGGCAAAAAATGAACTGAAAACTGCTTATCAGACCAGCTGGATAGAGGATGCTCACGCAATCTTCTATCGGGCTTCAACAGACCGAAGTATTTTTCAGCAACAACAGCCAAAAAAGAACACCATGCTATAAGGAAAACAATGACACGTCAAGTGGGGAAAACTAACGCAGAGATCAGCACTGCCTTCTCCTTTGGCTATAGACACACAGAGAGGGACTAACACCACATGCTTTACCTGACCAGGCACAATGCCCTACAGCTGAACCATAGGTAATAAACAGTTTGCAAGCGCGGCCATTCAGACAAGGATGAGGTGACCCTCTCTAGTCAGTTTTTCACAATTTCTAAATTACACATGAAGGAAGGGTATGGCAGCCCAGCTCCCTCTGCTACTCGTCACTCTGAGACCATGTCTCTGTGAGGACAGGGACTGTGCTGCACTAATGCTATAGCTCACAGGTTAGGAGAAAATAACCTCAGAGTAGCTAGCCACCAGATAGCTTTATTGCTAGTACCAGCAACACCTGAGGAGAAAGATGGACAACTGCCTTGCATTCTCCCACTTTTCAGCTGTGCTGTTTTCACACACTATGCAAATTTGGGCTGCCAAACCCGACTGCAAGCACAGAATAGGAGCTACTTAAATTCCCACTACTCCAGCACACTAAAGAAATTAGACTTTTCCCAAGTAGTGCAACAAAAAGAGCTGTATTTATCATGGAGCTACAGTTCCCTGCCCATCATGCCTTCAACAGCTGTAGTGAGTGAGGTGGTTTCTGATGGACAGCCCAGACGCCGTAATCTGAATCCCACCATCCCACTGCTTATTCAGTGCCGATAGCTGATGTTACCCTCATCTCACTTGCTGGCTCGCTTTTTTTTTAACGTTTTGACAGTAGTCTTTAAAAGGAAGGATTTAAGTTAAACTCTTTTCAATAACGCAAATGTGTTTTTTGCAATTAAAGCCACACAATTAGCAATGACAAGCTCAGGTCAGCAGAACACAGATTATGCTGTTCAAATGCTCTGCCACTCAGTGCCTCCAGCAAAAAGCTGCAGGAAAGGAGAAAAGAAAAAAAAAATCTCACACATATTATTTAACAACTTGTGCTCTGATGCACACCACCACTTGTGGATTTGTGGAGGGAGGTTCATTTATTTATTTACTTAAAATCCCTTAGGCTCTGGCCTCCTTCTCCACTGGTTGTATTCCTTTCAGACAACAAGAATTATTCCTCATGGCAAGAAGGCTGGTAACATTTAGAATTAACATCTCAAAAATAAATATTAAACAAATTTTAAAAGTCTTAAAATCCTTGACTTAAAAATGTTTCCCTTCATTCTTCACCAAAAAAAAGTGTTTGCTTAAGATCTTCCTCATTCAGTCACTTGTATTGCCTAGACAAAGAAAGCAGATTCCTCTGTCCATGTGATGACATACTGATTAATTTTAATTGAATACTGTTCTTTTTATTTAAAGTATGTAAACAGTGTGTGTGTGCATGTATAAATCACAAAACCAGAAAACTAAGTGTAAAAGCTAAAAGAATTTCTAATTTCTAATCAGTACTTAGTTTTGTTTCCTCTGAAATGTCTTTGTTTCATTAATAGTAACATTGGCACCTGCAGATCTTTAATATTAACATGATGACTCCCTTCTCCCTGTAGACAGACAGAAGCAACCATATATTTTAAATCCAAAAGTGGTATCATAGCAAAATGTAAGCAAAGAAATCACTTTACCAGCACGATCGACAACTGTCACCTAGTAGATGCAATGTTGCTTTTGGACTTCAGATCTTGATCCCATTTCTGCACAATCTCTCAAGAAAATCTGTAGTGCCACATACATGTTTATGGCATCACTGAACTGACAACAGTACTTTAAAATTAGTATGCAAAATCTGATTCAAATATTCCTACGTCTGCAATCACTTCCTTGCTTTCAATGGTTATGAGAGATAAGGGCCCTGACCTTAGAAATAACATATGCTACAATGTGGTAGAATTTCATATAAAGCTGAGTTCAAGTCAGTATTTAAATGTAACTTTAAAACACTATATTTGTATTTGTTTCCAGCTCAGTGTAAGGTAAGAATCACTGGAAATCCCCAGGACAACAACAGCATGTTCCCTTGCCCTTCTGTATGGCAAGTTTATTCCTTCTGCAGAACAAGATTACCACATGAGACTGGGAATGCCCAGCATAGGATTCCCAATTCATGTGTATATTCATGTGTCTTTGAAATTCTTAAAAAAGAAAAAGGGGAGGGAAATTATATATCATTCCTGTGTCCCTTTTTTTTTAGTAATATTTTCATTACTTCAGGGCAGAAAATCAACAGTCTACTCCTGCTAGCACTAACTAACTATATACGTATGTATACATATATATATATATACACTTATGTATATTTACGTGCACATATACATACACAGAATTTCCTCCCTCGTCCCTATCCTCCCCCCCTCAAGGCATTTGGGGTACAAATACAAGCTATTTCTTGAGTTTCAGCTGTGTACTTGTACCAGGCTGAAAATTTTCCTCTTAAAGCCAGTTTAGTCTTTATAATTCAAATGAAAAACAGCACACATCCTTCAGCACACTTTATTCTACAGGTGATGTTAAAAAAAAAAGAAAGAAGTCAAACCCTGTGACCTGTAGTTTCAGTTACACCAAGGAGAAATTTCTGTGGAATATGTAATGAAAATGCAGATATATAGATCACATTTCTTACCGTGTCCCCAGGCTTGACAGAAACTGCCACCACTGTTCCAGGCATAGGAGATCTCAAAATGCTGGAGGTGTCCTCTTCTGCTTTCTCTGGCATGTACTTGCTCAGCTCCGCAGCAACCTTCGTCAGTATTTGTAATTTGTACTAAAGAATAGGAAGAGGAATGTTTTAGAAAACTGCACCTTGGTGAATTCCAGTCATAATCTGCACTATTTTATGTCATGTTTTTATGTAATGCATCTGTTATCTGTTCTTCACAGGGGTGTCTAAAAAACACTGTTTGAAATCTTTATTCAGTTTCATTTTCAGGATGTAGAAGGAAAAATATGCAACCCAAATCTGTGGCAACGTGCACATAACAGGAAAGAATCAGATACAGTAAAGAGATGTCATACTCATTTTAAAATTAGGGGTAGAGAGAGAAGATGTAAATTTAAAACTAGAAGTGCCCTTATGCTTGCTGCACCTCATCTTTGGTGAATAAGGAATATTGAGGGATTTGTTTCCACTGCAGTACTGAATTGCAAATTGACCTTTTGGGAAAGTCTGCCAGACTTTAAACAACAGGACTGATCTTAAACATTATGTTTACTTTTTAAACATTTCTTTTGACCACGTATTTAGTGTTTGAAGTTAATAACTTGCTCAGATTTTACAATTAAAACCTATTAAACAATTTCAATTCTGTTCTTTCAGATGATGAAACAGTGTTGTATTGAATATTCTTCATCTGTAATAAAAACTGTTTAGCAGCTGTTACCTACCTTGAGAAAAAATGTTTTCTCTAAGTTTTTTTTACAGCAATTAGAAATTGAAGAGAATATGATGACCCTGAAGTGTCTAAGAGTATCTCTTTAAACAAAGCTTTCTGAAAACATATAAATGTTGCCTAAACTGATTTCAGCTCCAGGCTTTTAGTTTTTAAAAACTGTCAACTATTTTAATCACTGAGACAGTTGCTTGCCCTCAGACAGACGGTCTTCACGTTTGTCCCAGGGCACCTGAAAGGGATTGCAAAGAGCCAGTAGATGGCAGCAGGTCTCTGCGTGACACTCCTGCCTCGCCAAGGCCAACCCAGAGAAGACCAGCACCGCACTTCATCAATAATTTAAACAAAGGTTTTAATAATAAGCATCGGATGAACTGCATTTACAATTCAAATGTGTATTTTGCCGATGTAAAGTTCAACACCTTGCTTGGAACAGTATGTTTTCCTCCAAAACAATTAGCTATTGTTTTATTAACAATAACATGTCTTTACTTTTCATTTTTACATGGACAGAAAAAATCCGATATCCTTATGGTGAAGGTAAAGGGGAACTCTACCTTCTGCTTCTGTAGAGAGCAGAACAAGGTATTTAGAAATACATGCAAAAGGTGATTAATTCTGCAATGACATCTTTAAAAAGCAGCTTTCAAAGGCAAATTAAAACAACGTAAAGGAGGATTATCATCATCCATGAATGGCATGTGGACACGCAACATTATGTGCGATGAACAGTGCAACCATTCACTTAGAAATACTTACTTTTAATCAGAAATATAAGCAAATGGTTAAACGAACCGATTCCCCCCAACTCACCAAAGTAAGAAATAAAATGCCACAACAATATTCCCTGAAGCCGTAAGGGGCACCCAAAGATCTGAGACCCATTCCCAACCATGTGCCTCGGTTACAATTGATGTGGCTCAGGGAAATCAGCACCATTTTATATGCAAAAAGCAGTTTTAACTCCAAGCCTCCCGCAGGCATCATCATGACAATTAAGACTGTGGCGCTCACATTCTCCAACGCAAAATACAGCTAGTTCTCTCCCAGCTCAAGCAACCGCGTTCAATGTGATGTGCTCACTGCAGCCTGTTTCTTTGGAAGAGGAGTGCGCGTCTGCGTGCACATACAACACACTTTCATGTAGAGGCTGTAGGGAGAGGGGAGGCGATGCCTATAGGAGAATTGGTGACATAAGTTGCAAATAGAATTGCAGCAGTGTGACAAGTCAAATAATAACATCTTATGCATGTTTCTTTACTCTTGAGTGTCTGTTTTGCAATCAAGACATACAAGTGTCTGCCAGTTTCTGAAGGATATGATCCTTAAGTGAAATTACTGTGCAAATAAAAGCTTTTTACTCCTATTAAAATTCATCTGAGTCATAAGTGGCAAGGAAAAAAAGCTTGCAGAGTGTATTCTGCTGTCAATCTAATAAACATTCTGTTCAGAGGGACTATTTATCAAAGATAAATTGTACTTAAAAGTCCTTCATTAAATCTATGGGGGGGAATATAATTACACCAAATTGCACAGTTTCAGTATCCACGGTTAGTGTCTTCTTTGTACTCAGAGTTTGAAAATAAATAAAAAAAAAATTTAAAAAAAGGAGAGGAAAAAAAAAGAAAAAAGGAAGAACACAGAAATAAGATTTGTGGACTGTATTATTGCCTCTTGCAAGAGACTATTTTGATATGATTTCAAAGGACTAGGTGTATATGCCATTTAGTTTTTGGAGCCACATACAACACTTCCAAGCTGCCCAATTTCAAATTTAAACTTGAAGAGAAAGCCAGACCTTCATCTAGGTTACAGTATTTCACAGGGGCTGAAATACAGAATTCCCTATGCACTCCACCACGTACAGCAGTGGGGGAAAAACCACATTCCTCGGCATGCTGCACTTTAAAGCTCAGTTCTCCACACCAAGCTAAAATATCCCTACCAAACATTGTTTTTACTATCTTTATAATTTTCATATCTTTTAGATTCCTTTCTCTGCAGGACTCCTGCTTTACTTGGAGTGAGATGTAAGAGTCAGTACTCTCAAAGCTTTAAAACGCAGGTCTTTGTTATTGATGAGCTGTTCCTTTTCCTTTTGTATTTGTTTATTGTTCTTTAGTCTGTTTGGGGGATAAGCAAGTTACTGTAATCAAAAAGTAAAAAATAACAACAGTAAACTTCTGGGGAAAGGCCTTTTTTGGCACGGTTGGTTTACAAATGACCTTTCAGAAAATAAAAAGACAAAGTCGAAAAGAAAGGTTCCTTCTTTAAGATTACCTTTGATGTATTTCGGCTGTTTGGCTGGCCCACACTAAATACCTGCATAAGCATCCCTCTGTGACTGCTGTTACTTATCCCTGGGGATGAGTTGTGGAGTGGGGTGCAGGGCGCTGTTCACCTAACCAGGGTACAGCCTGAAGCTGGGGAGAGCCACAGGACTCTGGAAGATCACGCCAAACAATGCCTGCCAGTGCTGCCACAACAAAGACGATTAAGAATAAAGCACATTTTTTCATTACATGATGAACACGCTGCTATGCCTTTGATTTAGTGAGGACAATGCCGAACATAGGAAGCAGAAGTTTTGATATGCTACTAACGAGTGCGGATGAGGTTCAGATTTTTTTCCTTTATCCTCGGGAGGAGGAAGAGATGGGAGAAAGAAGGGGCGTAAATTGGGGAAGGCTGTGAAGTTTGGGTTATAAATAGCGACCAGGAGGTTTTCACTGGCCTACACCAGAAACATTTGTTGGAGTCATAAACAAATTGCAGGTGGACTCTGAGAGCAAGGAAATCTGCTAGCCATCAGGTCTGCCCTGATAAGTAGTTGTCACCAGCCACTGCTCCACTCCACAGGGTTTCAAAGCCTAATTCTGCCAGCCAAAGTCAAGTCAATAAAGCGGTACCAAAAGGAGCCATACAGCTTTTGATGACATAGAAACCAGGTGTTTCTTTTCCACCAGACTGTTGGGGGTCCACAGTCAGGTGACAAAAATTATAGTAGGGAAAACTGATGTTACTTAATAGTTTTCTAAGGGTAACAGTACCCTGTCCTATCTTTCCCACTAAATGAATTGGATGTTTGTGTAATGCAAAACTACCTCTTACAACCAAATGTCCATGACAACAATAAGAACATAAAAGGTGCAAAAACAGCAATGTAAGGGGGTGGGAGGGGAAGTGTATAGCAGGGGTTGGGGGGAGCGGGCGGGAGAAAAATAAGCAAATAGGATGAAAAATTTTACCTTGGGTTTTGTGGAGGTTTTTGTTGATACATACCGCACTGATCCTCCAAGTCACTAGACAAGTAGACTAGCTGCTACAAAAAAGGTCACCAGAGCATATCTGGCCCCATCTGTGCTTAAAAACAAGTTCTGTAGTTTGGTTCCCTTTCCGCCTGCAACTAAACATTGCAAATCTTCACTAAAATGCTCAAAATTGCACTCTGGTACATCTCACACTAGTTTATTAAATATGATCTTCCTTGTACCCTTGAAATTCATGTCTCAGAACCTGTAAATGTTCAAATTCCATTGGAGATTTTATAGAGCAATCACTACCCATATGTTACTTATGACAGTGTTTGGACTGCTGACCAGATGTGGATTTTCAGTATGCTTTACCTAAATGTTCAAGCATGTTTTTCAAATGTCTGTCATTCTTGTGGTCAGAAGGGTGAAAATCTTAGGTAGCTCAGATTTCAGTACAGAAATTGTCTGCTCTGTGTCTTCATTATTTTCACTAGCCTCGCAGTCTCATTTTTGGAACCAGTGAAATGTATTAACAGTGGTCACATAATTTTCCTCTAACATTCCACATCCTGCCTCAAGTTACTTAACTGTTGTCACCTGCACTTGGACGTCATCGACTCACAAGGAGTAGGTTATTCAGTATTCAGTCCAAGCAACATCAAGCAACGTTCCAGTTCTGAACACAATGAGCACGCTGCCTTTTTTATTATCATTATACACTTAACCATCATGACCATACCCTTGCTTAGATTTACACCACAGCACCTAAACAGGAAAACGATGTATTTATTCCATATAATTCGAAGATGTTAGGCACTACTTTCTTTCAGAGTCAAGGGTTCCTTACTCAACGGGGAGATAAATGACATTTTGCAAATCACGGAGGCTTTTTTCCCCGAAGACTGAGTTCTAGAGCTCATTTACTTCCACAGGGTGGTGGGGAGGACTAACATTAACATCTGCGCAAAATAACGGCACTTTTAGTCTGATGGCGGAGCAAACACTCGACACGCTATGGAGACAGCTGTTAAATAATAATAAAAAAAATACCAAAACAGCCACAAAAATCATGAGCCTTTAGTAGCAGCGAAAGGGAAAGAAAAACGAGAGGAGCCTCACCA